TCTTCGACAGCTGTTAAATATGGATCAAATTCTTTATATCCTAAATTAATAAAATAATCTGATATTTATTTCACTATTAGCTTTGTAAAACAAATTAATTGATTATTTACCTATGGCTTGCCAAATTCCACGTGTAAAATCTTCTTTATTTCCCAATGGAGTTTGTATTTTTCCAGTTTTAACACTATTTCTTAAATAATTTATTTCCTCAAAAAGTCCACTCTTGAAAAGATATAATTTAATATTAAAATATATTGAAGTTTAATTAATAATAAAGTATGTACACAAAATACCTTAATCATTTTATCGATCCTTGAATTAAGTCTATGATCAAGAACTTCCAAGTCAGAATATAACCAAAAAATGCAAGTACGTGAAAATCTACAAATGAGTTGAGCCTTGGCTTGTTTAATAAGTTCAATCAATACTCATAGTAACCTTAATGATGAGGCCTTTTCTTTTGGATCATTTTGTTCTTTAATCCATTGACTATGTGGTTTTCCTGTTTCCATGTATATCTAGGATATAGTAATAACATTTATTAAGAATTCTAAAAAAATGATCGTCAGATATGATCAATTACCTGTAAACTTCTCCTAACTCTCCTAGTATCATTCTGGTGCCACTTACTTGCCATTACTGGATCTACTTCCTGTAATCGTTTGTAAACAACTTCAGGCTTTGCATCCAAAATCTCCTCGTCAATATTACTCTCTTTATCATTTGCATTAAATGAATCTCCTTCGATAAGAGAATCCCTCCAAAGTAAAGATTGTATGTAATAATTTGTACCACCTACGATAATTGGAATTCGTTGACGATTATGAATTTCTTTAATCTTTAGTAATGATATTATTGAGAATACATAATAAAAGTATCACTATTCTAAATAGGTTAATAAAGTAAAGTTTTGGATACAGTTCGAAGTGCATCTTTTGTAAAATCAGTAACTCGATATTCCTTATGTGGATCCAAAAAATCCATAAGGTGATGTGGTATTTCTTCTCGTTCATTCAGTGGAATTTTATTTGTAATAATATCCAGTCCTTTATAAACCTAGAATTTACTGAATTAATTAATGAATTAGCGGAATTTAAAAAAAATTGTGAAATTACCTGCATTGAATCACCATTAATAATTTCTCCTTGTAAAGTTTTTGCTAATTGAATTCCCAAGTCAGTTTTACCAACGCCTGTTGTACCTATAATTGCTATAATACTTTTTTGCATGGTGTTAGTAAAAGTTGAAAAAATTCTCGAATTTCTAATTAAGTAAACCTGATGAATTCTATTAAAATTCATAATTAATTTGATAATCTACAAAAAAAATATATTAAATGTCAAAACACGTGATAAACGTGATAATGACCATATAATCAT